GCCAGTGTGAGTAAATCGACCAAAGTTCGCACCCCGTTTTGATCCATTATATCTTTGACATTTCGCCTATGTAATATGAGCTTATTTACGAACATAACTAGCCTATCGCGTTCCGTTCTGTCCGTGCAACGCTCCAACATTCCCAGTATATATTTCGTATCGGAGAATGGGCCAATGTCTTCGTAGTATCGACCGTACACTATCGTCATTGCTTGCAAGCAAAGGCACTTCATTTCGATTTTTGCAGTCAATAAGAATCTATGGTATAAATCATTAAAAAACTCGTACCTGCAATTGAAAACGAAACGGGGTTAGGTCGCCGTTAGGTGTATTTGTGCCTCTAGGTGTGTCGATACGAGACTTAGCGATTAGCGCGGCGATGTAACGCGCGGCGATCTCAGCGAAATAAGAGAGATAGGTGGTGGTGGTAGGTCGGTACCCATGCCTCATGGCTACAAGAAGCTCGCGATAACGCGATAACGCGTCGCCTGCAGAGGCTTGCTTGCAAAATTTGCGTTACTTACGATTTCCTTATTGGGCTGTCGGGACTATCTTTCTCCAACAGAAGTCTCAGGTAGTAATCTCCAATTTTAACTTCGTCCGAAAGACATTGATATTGCACCTCAAACTCCCTGTGATTCCACGCGATCAAGGTTCCGCCGGCCAGGTCTTTGTCCGAGCTGAATGCGCGTATCTCATTTTCCAGCGCTATCCTCAGCTCCTCTCTCGTTTTGTGATTCCAAATTAAGTTTGGCAGTGCGTGGTCTTGATTGAACTTATAATAGAACAATTTCCAATTAGCCTCAGATTTGATTCTTTCTCTGCGTTTCCTCAACACTATCGGCCGTTCTTTGATCTTCTCCCTCCGCTCTATTCCAATACGAGCGCCCCAATGCTGCAGAGCATTCTCCACGTGTTTCTCGACCACCCGCATTTGACGTTCGATAGCGATCCACTGCGGACTTTTCTTATTCTTCGACGCATGGTCTATAGCTATCTTCAGATTGTCACGATTGTTCAATCTCTCCTCCTCCAAGAACGAGTCCGGTACTTTTTCATCGGAGTCCAAGTAATTCAACAGACCGACCGGCTAAAAACGATCGACGAGCAATTCAATGTTACTTGTAATCGCGACGACGGTGGATCGTATCTCAAAAGCACGGCAGAAATAACGTCGACTCACCATGATTCGTTTCAGCAGTCCCATAGCAGTGGGATGCCCAGTCACCCACAAACCTACCAGGTGGCGGCATAATTGTCGGTGCGTTAATAATCTACTATCACTGCCAACGGTGAACAAACTGTTTAACAGATGTCTCGGTAACGCTCCCTCCGCAAGCGCCAACTCTTGCATCTTCGCCGCTACTTCCGGCGCACCCTCTTCGATGATCGCTCGCATTATCAACCCGGCGCCTTTCACCACGGCCAGTGAAGGATGCTGAAATAATTTAAACAAAGATCTGCCTCTCGCAGCGACCATTTCCAGAAGATTGTCAAAATGTTTGCCGTCGGTTGTCTCGCTGTATGGTACACACAAGGCGAACGTCAAAAGATCGAGCATAGCGGAGACCACCAGTGCGCCTGTACCGTGATTCTGTAATACGAAGGAAAAGGAAGACGTTCAGCCAACGCCAACGCGCGCCAATCGCGACGACCGGCCGAGTGTGTGTCAGCGTTGCGTTACTTACAATATGATTAATCCACATTTCGAGTAAGCTTTCGAGAAATTTGTTGCTGCTGAGTAGGCTACTTTTGTTCAATTGTTCTTGCCTTAAATCGCAATCATCATGCATTGGCTGCATCAGAGTGCAAATACAATCTATGGCAGCTTGCGTTACACCGCAATTTTGTCGCTTTAAAGCCTTCACGACCTTTGTTCCAACAGCTTCTCTAAAACCAGGAAGTGTTGTAAATGCAGTGAAACCGATTTTGCTAGCCACCAATCGTCGTAGTGCATGAAATTGTGCCTCAATCTCACTGTTTGTCTCTAGATCTTTGCTGATTAAAGTATTCAAAGCTCCGAGGATAATCTTGTCTTTGTTTTCGGTAAAGATTCCCTGTAAGTAGTCATTCATGATACGATGTACTTGGAGTTGTAACGTTGTTACAGTCCATTCAAGCGGTACAATTTCCTGGACAAACAGAAAATGTTACGTCTCCTTATGTATTTTTTATTAAAAGACTCAGATGGAAATATTTCTCCTTGTCTGAAACTTTATAACTTCTCTTTTGTATTTTTACATTGAATTGTGTGTCACAGCGAGAGATTTACAAAACACATACACACACACACATACACACACATATACATGTACAAACAAACAAATATAGCACGCCAATGTTTGAGACACCTTCTTTAACGACGGATTCCTTCACTTCAGTTTCCTTTTGTTTTCTCTTCCCTTTCTTAATTATAAAGTTTCAAAAATATTTCAATCTCTGTCAATGTACCTTAACCGCTTCAATGTGCTGTATAAATGCATACTTTCTATAGATATTTAAACATTCACGTAGCTATAACGTTTTTCATTTATAATCTTATATGCAATCAGATAGAGAACGTATGTTTTATCTTACGTCTTGGGTAACGGAATAATTAAGACCACTGTACGGTATATTTGCGTTAAACCTCTCCAGAATCTCAGCGAATGTACGTCCTCCGGGTGGTTGTTGAAGGAATTTAACATGCGTCGTCTCGACTTCTTCGTCGACAGGTAAATTGAGAGGTCCAAGTCTTTTGCCTCTAGCTATGGGATACATCTTTACGTGGACATCTCTGTTACCAGATGCTCTCACACCGTCCAGCAAAGACGCTAGCAAGGAATCTCTATTCGTTGCGGTATAACTGCGCGTTTGGCCATTGAGATATTGTATGGTGAACAATTGAGGATTATCGTTATCTCGAACCAAAGTAAAAATATCCGATAATGGCCTAAGAGTACAAATATTGTATGTTTGAGGATCTCTTTCCAGCAGGCAAGTGTCCGAAAGACACAGTGTTCTTCTCTGTGGATCCAAATGCCTGGAGGAAATCTTGTGTACGGTGAATTCCGAGACACTCGTTATGTGCTCGTCGCCACTAAATTTCCCTAATCTTTGAGCAATGAAGTCGTCCAGCTTTATAGGCTCCTTCAACATTTTTATGTTAATACCTAAATTGTTTAACGCAGCTTCCTGTAACTTTTTTTTAATTTCTTCCATATGCACAGACGCAAAAAGATGCAGGCGACCGAAGCCACCGCATACAATCACAAACCCATTAGGATAATCTTTCATTGTCAGAAGTCCCTCAAAATCTTTGTAACAATAACTAGCTAATATCATGTTTGTTGCAGGATCTAATTGATCAAGACTGTATGGTGTTATTTCTAACACTACAGGTAATCTTGTATCGGACCAGTGGTGTTTGTAAGCTTGATATCTCTGCAATTATAAGATTATAATTATTTTACCAATATTGTGTGTGCAAAATTATATGTAATTTGTGCTTATTTCTTTCTCTCTTACACGCATGAGATCTTTTTGTACATACAATGTGTAAATAATACCAAAGATATCTGTGATTACATTACATTGGCCATATGGCTGCAGAGATAACAAGTCAGCCTGTGTCACAATATATTTCAATATTAAGAGAACATGCTACTACAGAAAATGTATATATAAAAGAAGAGAAATGAAAGAGAGAAGGAAAAAAGCAAGAGTAAATATATATATATATATATATGTATATACGTGTGTATGTGTGTGTAACGTACACACACACACACACACACGTGTACAGAACTCACCAAAGTTTCTTTAGATTTTTCAAACTGATTTCTGTATTTCAGAGCCTCGGTCAATAAATGTGGTCTGTGCTCTGAACTGAACTTCATAGTATCATTTTTCCGTTCTTTACGCACAGTTATGGTAAATTCATGGGATCCTAATTGACTTTTATTTATTGGCTGTACATTTATAAAGTCAGAATACTCCCACTTGTTTGTAACATCTAATGTGCCAGGGTTGTATGTTGTTATCCCCATGGAACCAATGGAGAAGATACGTTTGTACCTGGTTGTACGATTTAGATATAAGTATAAACATCGCTATTTAAAGAATGATCGTAGTATTATTAGAGTGAATCTCCTTACAATTGATAAAGATCAATTCAAATATCAAGAACTCCGTAGTCAACCGTGAGTACAATTTGTACGATACATTAGATATTTATTTGTCACTTCATACGCGTGTATGTTTCAAATATCTTTAACTCAATTATAAAGACTATTCTTTTATATGTAGTAAAGAAGACAACACTTACTTTCCCTTCCATGAATGCTTGGTAACCAAAAAACATGCCACATCTTGATTGTCCTTTATCGGCATCATTGTTTCATTTCTCGCGGACGCAAGCGTACCGATCTAAATAACGTTTCGACAAATCACTGAGCACTACTCGCACAAGACAAGTGGCGTAGGAGAACATTCGCACATGAGTTATAAAATTACGCGACAGTCATTATCCAAAGTATAAGCATAAAGGAAAAGGATATGAACCTTTACCGTGCACCTCTTGCCCTTGATCTTTGTTCAAGTGGGCGATATACTTATTTAGGCACACTTTATTCGCTTTTATTTAACAAATGTCATTTTCGACAGGTCCGTTAGCCTGGAAGCGGCCATGATGATCGTGGACGGTTGGGGGTGTTACCGAACAGCTGTTTCTAGATGTCAGCACTGCGGTTTATGATATATATCATCACTGTTCGTTTGGCTTGTAGTGCTACCTGTGTCGCCAAGGGCATTGGCGGTACATATGTCTTGTTATAAAAATTAAAAAAATTAACAAACGCGGTGTATTCTCACCTTGACATATGTAATTAATTCACATATATATTTTATTGAAGAAGATTGTTTCTCAGACTCATCACACATCCCTTGATTAATTGCTCTGAGTCATCTAGTCAACATTTCACACTGTTTAATGGTTGGAATTAAAACAATATATTATAAATATATTAAATATTGTGATGCAGCATCTGTTATATTCGTTATGTTCGTCTCTCACGAATATTTGTTGTGTTCGATGACTTGTGTAATAAGTTGACTCTTTGAGTCAGTGTCACTAGCCAAAACAAAAAGATTCTGCATATTGAATGTTGCGTACTCTTTCTCCCTACATATTTGTTATTTATGAAATAATATAGAATTGTACATATACATGAAGTTTATTAAAACTTTTTATTATTAAAAGCTCAGGTAAATATTTATTTCTTTATATCCATTTTTTTTCTTATATTAATAATAGCAAAATAGTGATTTTAACGTATACAAATTATAATTTCTAGTATAATTAAAGGATGGATGAGCGTAAAGTATATAGTGAGGGTGAGGAAGGGGAAATTATATCAGACTTTGAGGAGGATTTTACAGAAGAATTATCTAACTATCCTCACATTTCACAATTTATACATAAGTTGCAAGATCATATTAAGAGACAACGAAAGAAAATTAACAAACTAAGAAACAAACTTGTTGAGCAGGTATATATATCCTTGGTAAAATAATAATTTTTATATTTATTTATATAAATTCTATATTGTGTATATATATGTGTGTATATGCGTAAACAGAAATGCATAAGCATATTTTATAGATTTATGTTGTGACTAAGAATTAATAGATTGACTATAAAAATACAGATCTATGTTTAAAATATCTGTAGTGAAAGAATTAATATTGGTATTTTTAATATAATACATTTTGTATAAATTATAAAATTGCTTTTTTGTTTTCAGAAACATCAAAACGTGCTTCGTGAGAAAACATATATAGATTGTGGAACTCAGACAAATCCTTTGGATCTTGATAAATCTCTGTCGCAAGATTGGGATATTAGTAATAATGATAAATCATCTAGTATAGTAGATCAAGTAAAGCAAGTAGCAGAATCAGCTTTATTGCAAACTGGTTTTGTATATGAGGAAACATCTGGGATGTATTATGATTATAATACCGGATATTATTACGACACGGTATATATTATTAAGCTTATACATATGGAGGTTTCATACTATTTAGTATAATACTATCTTCTTCATTTCTACATTTCTACAAAATAGAAACGATGAACATTAATATATTTATAGTATACTATTTATATTATTTTAAAGAGACAAGGCCTGTACTATGATGGAAATACTGGAACGTATTACTACTATGATGAAGCTAGCAAGACGTATCAATTTCACAGTCAAGTCCAAGCTTGTACAAATGAGGCTACCAATATACACCTTCCCGTCACGCAAAAGAAGGAGGAACAGAATGCTGGGAAAGTAGACAAGGTTACTGTCCGTATATTCCATATATTTAGTAACGTGCAACTTTTTAATAGAAAATATTTAATAGATTTTCAATTACAGGTTTCAGATGAGATAGATGAATTAATAAAGGACTTCTCAAATATAACAATTGAAAGATACAGGCGGCAAGCTTTAGGTAATTATCCTATGGTTTTAATATGCATACGTGTCTCTCTTGTAGGATAACGTGAAAAAACGAAAATACGAAGAAAATTTGGAAGAACCCGAGGATGGTGAATGTTCAGAGAGTGACAATGACGATATATCTGAGGAAATTACTCCTGACCTATCTACTAGTAGCGAAAGTGATCGTGAGGAGGAACAAGGTTTATTTCCTAAAATTAATTTATATCTGTATTTTTATAAGAAATTATGTTTCGTATCATTATAATTGTCTTTTTTGTAATTATATATTTTGAAATACGAAAATTAAAATATTATTAATATTGATTTTGAAGCAAACGCAATTATTGTTTTGTGGAAAAAGAGGTCACACATAAATCTTGGTAGATTTGCTCAATTCTGTCTTCCATTTCACATTTATACACAAATAGTTTAATTTATTATATATTATTAGTATCTTATAATAAATCTACCTGTATTTCCTTTATGAAAATATTACTCCGTAAAAAAGTTTAAAAAGGAAAAAGTTATTGCGTTATATACAAATTTCTCTAAAGTGGAATTTAATATAGAAAAATTTAATAGATTAACATAAAAAAAATTGTGTACTGGGTATAGTCTAGTTATTTATATTTTAATTGTCAAATGATGTTACACGTTTCGAAACGATAATTTTCAGATTTAGCGAAAAGTTATCCGCCATGTATGAGGATTATCGTCAAGGAAACCAACTTGGCGAAATTAAAAATGGGTTGTCTCTTTCTTGTAACATACACAGGAGGTTCGCTGGGTAGAGAGGGAGATCACTCGGTGTTGATACCGGATGTCAATATCAGCAAGGTATAACTACTATGCTGAATTTTCTATTTTTATGCATACACTTTAGTTGTTGCTGTTCTATAAATAATAACTACATGTGTGTATATGTATATGTGTATACACACATATACATACATTTGCAGTATCATGCACGTTTCGTATACGACGAAACCAAGAAACAGTATCAAATAATAGATTTTGGCTCAAGAAACGGTACATTTTTAAATGGCAAGAGACTGTCGGTAGCTAAGCAGGAGTCCGAGCCTTACGAAATAACGCATGGTTCGATCATAAAGATTGGCGAGACAAAACTCCTGTGCCATATTCATAATGGAAACGAGACGTGCGGTCATTGCGAACCAGGTCTCGTCCAACAGAACATCAATTCCAGTGAGAATAAAACTTCAAAGAAGAAACTTCACAAGGAGGAGTTACGGCGTTTGAAGCACAAATTCGGAGTTGAGAAAGATAATGTTATATCCAGTAGTCAATTAGCTAGTGGTTATCAGGATAGGGCGGAAGCTAGGAGACAGCACGTGGGTTCCTCGAATCATCATGCTAAAACGCAACAAAGTTCTCTCGACTGGTAAGCGATCTCGCAACGTTTCGCTTAAGCAGGCTCGCGCCTTTTAAATGTGTAACTGTTGAACTTCACCGAGGACAATCGTTGAATGCAGGTCGATACCAAAGGATAACAAAGGATTCAAAATACTTACAAAAATGGGCTGGTCGGAAGGTCGTTCCTTGGGTAAAGACGGAGACGGAATAACGGAACCCGTAAGTCAGTTTTCTTATTGTCTTCGACTTATCTTAATTACCACCAAGAGAGGAAGAAGCGAGTGTCGGAAACTTTTATGGGCGGATTATCGCCAGATTCTTGGCTCTTGAAACGATTGAATTTCTGTTATGACAAAATCTACTTGGGATTTGTCACGAGACTTATCGTTGAAAAAAAAAACGACTATAAACCTCAGCTCGCACATTACACGGTGGATTTATCATCGAAAAGGGACAAAATGCAAAGTGTAGCGGTAGGTCGGGCCGGAAACTGTGCACCACGCACTTTTTAATTCAGCATAGTCTGGATAGGCTAGATTCGCGATGATACACGCGTGCTCAAAGAGGGAAAAATGAAGAGAAAAAGCGGATACACGCTCGACTCATTAGCCGAACGCGGTCGTTACGTTGCAGTCTGCGATATTTCCTTTTCTTCCTTCCTTCCTTCCTTCCTTCCTCCCTTCCGTTCGTTGCTTTCTTTTCTTGCTCATTTTTTCTTCACAGCCACAGTTGCACCGGCGCGTCGTGCCGATCTTGTTCCTGGTGGTAGCTCGTCCGTACGTCTGTCCGTCTGTCACATTTCGAGTCACGGCATTGCAACGAAACGAGCGCTGTCGGCACACGAGCAGAGCATTCGTATGATAACGAGCGTAACTCTGCGAAACGTGGAATGGCGAAAGAAGAGACGCGCGCGGGCCGCGGGCCGTGAGCCGTGGCGCAGAGGCAGGGAGAGGTACCCCCGGGGTAATGAATGCAAATGTATTGAAATCCAAATCATTATTTTGTCTAGACGCATCGTATGCCCCATTGCATACGCCGGAATACAGTCGACCGGCGGTGCTTGTGCGCGTAAAAGGATTAAAGGGTGGGATAAGGGGACTGTTATTTTCTCTCTCGTCTAGTACCTCTCTGTCCACCGTCGCCGCGTCGCCACCCATTTGCCTGTCCTGCCGTTGTCCCTGCGGTCTCCTACCGCCTGTCTGTCTTTTTTTTTCTCAAATTTGTCCGCCGTTCTCTCTAAAACCGTTGCTTCCGCTAGACATCGAGAGAGAGAGAGAGAGAGAGAGAGAGAGAGAGAGGGAAAGAGAGTCGCTTCGCGCTTTTTGCTCGTAATTGTCCGCAATCTGCCAGTGCGGAGGCTGTATTTTCCACGTAACGCGCATCCTCTCTCGCGAGTCTTTCTGATTTACTTTGAAATGAACGTGCCACGAGGCACGAGTAAAATAACTAATAATATATTGATCTAATATGCAATAGGTTAGGACGAGGTGGCTCTCCTTCGAATTCGGTTCATTCAATCAGTGCGCCTTTTAAATCTGCAATATATTTACAAAAAAAAAGAAACGAAAAAACAGCCAATTTTGCGCTCGACTTACTTTTACATATTGCACAATTATATGCGAGGAATAAAAAGTAAACTCCCTCTAGAGCCGTTTCAAACTTTTAAATCCGCTAACGTTTCGCCTTAAAAAGAGAAAAAGAAAAGAGGACCCGGCTGGAAGTTACGAGACCGGCCGCGTCGCTATCGCAGAGACGCGAGACTACTTCGCTTTTACATTGGATCCGTTTTTACGTTACCATCGTCGTCGTCGTCTTTACGCGCACCGCTTCACGCGGTTGCAGCGAGCGCGCAAGCACGTAACACCCCTCGCGCGCCCATCCCTCGAGTGCGTTCTCGCATTGAGATGTGACCTATATCGTAAACGACGGAGACAGAGGAGAAGGCTACTATGCAACGGGCTACGGACGAGAAGCGGAAGGAAGAAGACGGACCGCAGCGTGTTCCGTGTCTGTGAAGGCCCGTAAAGCAGACATTGTAAAAGCCGCGAATGGCGATTGCCAGTAAACCACACGCGCGCGAGCGCGGGCGCGGGCGCGCTCGCGCGAGGACGTGCGAGAGAATGCGATAGGCGATGGGTATAAAATCCACCACCTTACGAAGGTGGTGCCTGCGTACCCCTGCGAGCACCGTGTTATACTCGAACGGATAAAATCTCGGCGGGTTCATTTATCTAAGTGCTTCACTTCGCACGAGCGCCGAGCGCTGCTGCGTTATAAACGCGCGAGTCGCCGTAAGTCACTCCCGGGACACAAATATTCCTCGCAATCCGTATCGGCTAACGTACGTCCGTCGATTTCCTCGCTGATACCCGGAGACCGGATATGCGCAAACGAGCCGGATGTGGAACCGGACACGCAGATTGGCGCGAGGTCGCGAGTAGTCGCAACGATTCTCTCTCCCTCTCTCTCTCTCGCTCTCTCTCTCTCTCTCTCTCTCTCTCTCTCTCTCTCTCTCTCTCTCTCTCTCTCTCTCTCTCTCTCTGTCTCTCTCTCTCTCTCTCTCTCTGTCTCTCTCTCTCTCTGTGTGTGTGTGTGTGTGTGTGTGTCTCTCATTGTCCATCGTCAATGAGACAAAGGCAAAGGTGCGCAAAGGTCGATCGAGAAAATAAGCGACTGGAAGACGCTCCAAGTTGCGCGAAAATATTTTTGTCCGTTGCCAAATGTGTTTACAAGTAAACAACAACGACAGACAGTTACGTTTCTTCATTTCGTTTCAGCGGCATAATCACGGGTCGCGCGCGCTCGTGCCGCGCCTCGCACTGTACTTGAAGACCACAATCGGCGCATCGTCACGGCGAACGCACGGACCGCCAAGTAGTCGCAAACTGTATCCGGAAACTGCAACGGTTTCATTTTATAGACTTCCCTGAATATCGACTGCCGCCGCGGTGAGCCATTTCGCAGATAGAGCGCGAGCGAGCGAGCGAGCGAGCGTCTAACCGAACACCGCTCGAGTTCGCTCCTTTTACGATTTACATCCATTTCCATATTGCACCTGTTCGCGGTTTACAATCCTCGGCGGAAAAACTCGTCTGATTAATGACACGATAAATAATCCGGAGCCGCCGCGTCGGGTCGGGCCGGGCCGCGGGGGCAATGAGGATTCGTCGTGCTTCCATAAAACCCGCGCCCGTGGAGGCGGCATCTCTCCGATTTCCCGGAGAGCGCGAGAGACAAATCGCCGAAGCGAGCGCGACGTCCGCGAGAACATGACCGACAAGTCACGTAGGGGCAGGGAGGGGGGGGTCCGATTCACGAAAATGGACGGCTCGTTGGTGAAGATATTTTTGCGGGAGCGCTCTCCGCGGCCTGGATAATCAGTCAATTAACTCGAGAGAGCAGAGATCTCTCCTGCGAGTTATCGGTGTTTACGTGGGTGAATCGATCGCGCCTGTTTGCAGGCGATATGTATCCGACATTAATTAATCGGGATCGGGGAGGGATGTTTTGAGAGAGAGAGAGAGAGAGAGAGAGAGAGCGCATCCACGCGAAAACAAGCGAGAAATCGGGATCGCGGCTTCGCACGCGAAAACTTGTTGTTGCATTTCGTCTCTTGTTACTCCGCGCCTCGTCGTCTATTTGTTCGCCGTGCCCTTCTCCGCCGACGAAAACAAAAACAGCGATGAGAGAGGAGAAAGAAAAGGAAGAGGAAGAGGAAGAAGAAGAAGAAGAAGAAGAAGAAGAAGAAGAAAAAGACGAGGAGAGAAGAGTTCGCGATGCAGCGGAAGCTGACCGCGAGATGTACATAAGCGCGGCAGAGCCGCGGGCGTTACGGTGGAACGCAAGGTCGCTTAGATGTTACGTAATGCAAAGAGGTGGAGGGACTGCGGGGAACGATTTCAACAATCCTCGCGACTCGGAACGCGGAGCGGTGCGGAACGCGAAGACGTTCGAAGGCGACGAAGAAGGCGGGAGTTTGAAAGCCCCGCCGGAGCGGAGCCGGGCTGATTGTGCCCGAGTGAAAGAGCATCTCGTGGGTGAGACACCTCCGTCTCACCCCGCAACAACACCAGGAGGATCATTCAATTCGTCTTCGGTCGATTGCCTCGCGAAGAGTTTGAGAAGCATTGTCATCGGAATTCGGGGCGAAGCTGCGAGCTAACGAACGCCAGGATAAAGCCAGACGGAACGGGAACGGGAACGGGAACGGGATCAATCCGCGTGGATACCCTCGAATACCGCGAGGACGCTCACTTTCCGTTGCTCGCTATGTTTTTCGAGACCTCGTCAGTGCCGAGGCTTCGATCTCGGACCTTGCTGGGGAGACTCGCGCGCGGTGTTTCCGCGCGGAAACTATGCGCATTCTCTAAAGTCTTCCTCGGTGTCGGCATTTTTCCAGCGGCGTTTCCCCAGGCCAGCCTCTTCGCTCGGTATACTCGCGCTTTCATCTTTGGCCGTGCATTATAACGGCGATATTTACGCCTGGTCGCAACATGTTTGCATCCGGCAACGGTATCGGTATCGGGCTTCGATCGGAATGTTTTGAAACGCGTTACCCGGGCGAAAAACACGCGAGGCCTGCGGACACAAGAGCAAATCGCCCGTGTTGATTCCCGCGCCTCCGCGCGATTCGTTCCCGATAGCTTGTTGTCGTCATTAATCTCCTGTTCTTCCTTCTTATTTTTTTCAAGCCGTCTGTTTATCCGCCGTGCCTTTTTCTTTTGGCGACAACGAAAACAGTGTCGGGGGTAAAAAACGTAAAAAGAGAGACGAAAGATCGCGCGCCTACCGCCGAGGAAACTTGCCGGGAGGTGCGCGAGCCGCGAAAGGCAATAGCAAACAACTTGATTTTATATCGTACGTCCGCCTGACGCGGCTCTCGATGCAGCCCATCCGGAGCAAGTTTCCGAGCCGGCGCCAAATTTCCAAGGTTCATCGAGTAGGAGTATAAAACAATGGCTTCCTTAACCCGCCATAAATTGATACTTTTATGGGCGGTTCGATAGTTCTTCTCTCTCACGATTCTACGACTTCTCTCGGCTAGACGCCGGGATACCATCTTCACATTTTTCCTCGGCCATAACACCGTCTGCGGCTTCATTAACGCTCCGTTAACGAGACAAAGAGAGGGAAGAGCGAGAAATGCAAATTCACGCGTCCTTTACGTGGTGGTCTCTCGCGCAACAATGATCGCGAGACGTTCTAAAGCCAGAATCGAC